TATATATTTTGCTTCGCATGATGATAATGCCACCACTGGTTCCTTTCTCGAATTCCAAGCAACTGGTGCACCACCTAACATAAACACATCCAGCTGTGGATTTTCGATCCTCAACATCACTACACCAACTGGAGTCTGTGTATCCCACTAACTTGCATTCTTTTCCTTCATCAGCTGCTGGAAACAAAATGCCATAGTCGAGAGTTCCTTTCAGATACCTCAGTATCCTCTTCGCCGCTGCTAGGTGTGATACCTTTGGTTTCTACATGAATCTACTTATCATACCAACACTGTATGCTAAGTCAGGCCTTGTGTGGCAAAGGTATCTAAGTGACCCAATAATTCTTCTGTATTGGGTTGGGTCGACATCATCTTTATCTGAATCCTTCGACAGTTGCAATCTGGGCTCAGCTGGAGTCGAAGTTTGGTTGCAATCTTGCATCTCAAATCTCTTGAGTATCTCGCCTGCATATCTTATTTGGTGCATCATCAAACCTCTACTTGTCTTGTAGAATTCGATGCCAAGGAAATATGAGAGATTTCCCAAGTCTGACATTTCAAACTCCTTACTCAGGCCATGTTTGAAATCTTCGATCTCCTTCTTGGAACTCCCTGTTATCAACAAATCATCAACATAGAGACATAGTATAAGCAATTCGCCATTGCTTCTTCTTACATATACTCCATGCTCAGTTGTACACTTCACAAATTCCTTCTCCCTTAAGAAGCTGTCAATTTTCTTATTCCAAGCTCTTGGAGCTTGCTTAAGTCCATACAGGGCTTTATGAAGCCTGTACACCTTTCTTTCTTCGCCTTGTTTCACAAACCCAGCTGGTTGTGCAACATAAACTTCTTCTTCTAAGGGGCCATTAAGGAATGCACACTTCACGTCCATCTGACATGTGTGCCAGTTGTTCATATTTGCTAGACCAACAACCAACCTGATTGTTTCGATTCTAGCAACAGGTGCGAATACTTCATCGAAGTCGATTCCTTCCTTCTGAAGAAATCCTTTCGCCACAAGTCTCACTTTGTGTCGAGTTACTTCTCCTTTAGGATTTACCTTCACCTTGTAAACCCACCTCACATCAATTGCCTTCTTGCCTTGCGGCAATTCGACAAGTGACCAGGTATCATTGACTTTGATGGACTCTAACTCTTCAATCATTGCTTTCACCCACTTCGAATCTTTCAATGCCTCAGTTACATTGACTGGTTCGACATCTGCGTAGAAAGCATAACGTACCAGCTCACCCTCTTCATCGACTACATCATCTGATGTGATTACACATTCTTGCAACCTTGCAGGCATGTGTCTAGTTCGTCGAGGTCTGCTTGAACCTGCTTCATCTGCAACTGGTTCCTGTCGAACTTCTATTTCGACTTCAGTGGCTGCAGTTGCTAAACACTTGTGCTCCATCACATTGAGTCCAATCTTGAAGGTCCTATTCTGAGACATTGGAGCCTTCAAGATTAGTCTACCACCTGCGTCGAGGACTCTCATCATCTTGTCTTCGACAACTACCTTGTAGTTCTTTTCGACAAGCTGCCCTATACTGAGCAAATTACTCTTCATGCCTGGTATGTACAACACATTGGAAATTGTTGACCTTTTGCCATCTTTCCTCATAATCAGAACATCACCAACACCTTCAGCTGCTAGAGTGTTGTCATTTGCAAACTTCACCGTATTCTTCGACGAGGGCTTCATGTTGACAAACCAATCTTTCCTTCCAGTCATGTGTGATGAGCATCCTGAGTCCAAGTACCACTGATCTTGGAATCTTTCTTCATCGTTTGTTGTGACCATTAGCAACGTTTCTTCTTCTTCATGTTTCGTCAGCTTTGCATCAGTCTCTTGATTTCTCTTCTTTTCTGGACAATCACTAACATAATGACCATACTTCTGGCAATTGAAACATTGAATGTGACTTTTGTCTGTCTTTCGATCACCACCTCTTCCTTTACCTGCAGCACCACCTCTTTGGTTGCCTTGGTTCCAAGGTTTCTTTTGATTCGACTGGTTTCCTCCTTTGTTGCCATTCCAGCTACCTTTGCCTTTTCTCTCCTTTTCCGTCTGTGCCTGCAAAGCCATATCTTTCGACTTTCCTGCAGCTCTCTTAGCCATCCTCTGTTCATGAGACTCAAGAGTCCCTTGAAGCTCTTCCTTCGTCAACACTGACAGATCTTTCGACTCTTCTATGGCAACTACCACGTGGTCGAATTTTGGAGCCAACGATCTCAAAATCTTTGAGACAACTGCTTTCGTCGTCAGCGTTTCTCCACATACTTTGATTTGATTCACCAACCTTGTAACTCTGGTGAAGAAATCTGTAATGCTTTCGTTGTCTTCCATCTGAAGCAACTCATAGGTTCTCTTGTGAGTTTGTAACCTCACCTCTTTCACCTTCTCTGCGCCTCCAAACGACTTTTCAAGAATCTCCCATGCTTCTTTTGCTGAATCAACATCACTAACCTTTTCAAAGTTATCAGGATCGACACACTGATGAATGATAAAGAGTGCTTTATAATCCTTCTTCTTTAATTCTTTGTGCGCAGTCTTTTCCGCCTCCGTTGCGTTCTCCCTAAGCGATGTTACTCCATCTTTCACAAGATCCCAAAGATCTTGATAACAGAAGATCACCTTAATCTGCTTGCACCAATTCTCATAATTGTCTTTCTTGAGAATTGGCAGGGTCGCCGGAAAGTTACCGTTCGGATAATTCATCGCCATCACTATCTTCCTTCCTTGAATCTTTTAACCAGAGCTCTAGATACCAGATGTTGGAAATTCACCTCACACCATATGAAGAATTCCCTTCAATCTTGATCTCAAGATTGATGAACAAACCCACAATATGATAATGATGGTAATAACAAGTAATTATCAAGAACAACAAAAGAGAAGAAGAATAACAAACAAGAAAGAGAAGAATGAGAGAAGAAGTATTTGGAGAGAATGTGTTATCCACAACTGTGGGATTTCTTATTGAACTTTCACTTGCTAATTGCAACTGTGAAATCTGTTCTGTTGTGATGTAGAATACAAAGCAAGACACCCTATTTATAGTTTTAGGTTTATACTAGCCCAAAACATAAAAGACCCAAAATATTCTAAATCAAATCTAATCCTATGATATCAAATCTAATCATATGATATCTAATCATATCATATCAAATTAATCATATGATATCAAATCTAATCATATCAAATTACAATGAATTATATTTAACATTATGTTTGTCTGTATAATTTTTGTGAAGTCATTTTGGATTTGTGTGCTCCGCATGATAGTTTCGGTGACTTATGAGGTTGAATTCTTAATCTCAGGTTAGAAGGACAATTTCTTCAATTAGATATACTGAACAATTTCCTAGACTTTCAACTGGATTTAAAGTATTTGGAAAACGGGATGCAGACATGTTTGGTTTCCAGATTTGTAATGACTACAATTTTGTTGTTGTTGTTTATCAAGATCATAGGGTTTGTTGTGAAATATTGATTTTTTGGATGCTGGAAATCTAACCTCACATTGTGTCTTCTTAAATCAAATTTTAACAGAAACTTTTCAAGTTCTCATTTGTTCACTGGCATAGAGGTACACTTTCTAACACTCCCAACCTTTTCATTCTGCTTCTGCTTTTGTTATTAATTTTTAAATCGTCACATTTGCTAATTATGCAAAAGTTGTGATTTGAGATTAAGTAACCTTTTTAGCTGAGATATATATTTGTTTTTAGTTGTTTATTTTACTTATTAATTAATTTTATTTATTTTTAATTTAAATAAAAATTAATAATTTATTTTATCAAATTAAGTAATACTGAATAGTTGTGTAAATAGTTAATTTTTAATCTCACGGATCACTATCAGTCAAATATTTATGGTATTTTAATCAACAATTACATTTATTTGATAGATAAAACCTTTATTTTTGAATATCAAAATTTTATTTATTTTTCTCCATTAGATATGTCGTATTTTTTTTCTTTTCAAATATTTATTTAATGCAATTGATTTTATATGATCATTGATCATTTAACAATTAAGTAATTTATTTTAAATTTACATCTGTATTCAAATAATTTAATATCGTATCAGCTCTATTTTTCTTTATCTATAGGTTCTTATTATGAATCATTAACAATATTTGTCAAATATACATTATATTTTGTGTAAGACAATTTACAATTCTTACATTTAGATATTCTAACTATAAATTTTCAATCTAACATTTCATTTAAAAATATATTTTAACAAATATATCTTAAAATATTATACTAATTTGAATGAAAAATTATAGTTGTTATTAACATCTGAATGAAAAATAACGTGATAGGTTTAGAAATATTAAATGATCAAAATGATTTATTTTAATGTTATAGGAACATAATAACTCTTAAATATAGAACGAACAAGAATATTAAATCCTTTTCTATCAACAGTTTAGTTGGTAGAATTTCAATTGTAAATAATTAAAGGGTTCTAAGTTAGAATCCACTTCCTAGCAATATATTCACCCAACAATTTTGTAAACTATTGTACATTTTAAAATTCTCTCCTATATCTAATTTAATCTAAATAATAGGAAAATATCATTTAATTTAATCATATTAATTTTTTTAAACTTTTTTTAAAAGTTACTTTTACAACGTTGAATATTTTTATTAAAAAAATTATAGTTAAAAAAACTATTTTCATATACAAGTTAGCTCTAACTTCACAATAATTTCTAAAATATCTAACAACATTTAATCGTTAGGAATTATCACTTATTATTAACGAGTATACGCTGAAATCTAATTCATATGCATTAATATTTTTTACATTTTGATCACTTAATTAATAGATTAAAATTTTATATTTGTAATTTAGAAGTGGGTGGGGATAGCAAAGCCCAGAGAATGTATATTTGGGCCAAGAAGAAAAAAGAAGCAGAGGATCCATAACTTTCAAATCTTATACGAAGAACACTCTCTCTCCGGCAATACCAACGGCAATGGCTTCTGTAGCAACAACCAGCACTTCACTCTTCACCCCTTTGGTTTCCCTTCGCCGCAATTCCAAATTCTCGCTATTCTTCTCAACGCACCACGTTACAAACTCCAAACCCCACGTCTTTGTCCTCTCTTGTTTTCCTCCGAAGACAATTCCGGTGACCGAGCAACAAGTTTTGCAAGCAATTGCCGATACATCAGACCAAAAGAGACTCCCGTGTGTCAGAACATACGAAAATGATTTGTCTCAACTAACTCTCGTCGGTGCTGTTGATTCCCGGCAGGCTATTACGGCAGGTGCGGCTGATGGCGGTGATGTCGCCGCGGAACATATTGACGCTGGTATGGATGCTATGGTTGTTGAAACCGTTTTTCCTGCTTCTTCCAGTGACAACGGCACCATTTCTACTCGGCTGGTACATTCTTTGTCCAATTTGGTTATTTGAATTTGTCAAATTGAAAGTTAAACTCTATGATTTTGGGTTCTTTGACGGATGCTTGATTTCCTTGAATTGTATGCCGTTTCAAAATGTGACTATATGTTATGTTGCTTTGTGTTATATATTGAAATGTTGAGGAAATAGCGATGAAAATAGGCTGAATTAAGTTAGGGTATGTTTGGATTGGTTGTATCTGAAGGAATGTAATGGAGCGGAATGGTAAGTAATCAGATTCTATAGTGCGGAATGGAACGTGATGGGTGTATGTAACGAACAGAATGAGCTAATTAGTTATGTTTCATTCTATCAAATTAACAAAAATACCTAAACAATGGAATGGGATATCTGATTCATTCTGCTTCGTTTCATTCAACTCCATTCCATTAGGTTTCATTTCGCCCCGCTCTGTTCTAGTCCATCAATTCAAACATGACATTACCTGTCATAAGCTTTTTTTAGGCTTAGATGAATTTAAAGTGATGTGTTTTGGCAGTTCTTACCTGCTAGGAAAGTTAAAGAAAAGGCTGCTAAGCTCAAAAAGTCTCTCTCAGAAGATATATTTTCCAATACCACATCTAAGAATGTCTTGACTATGACATTTAGGCAAGTGGTCTTGGAGCAGATTTGGACCTTTGATCTTACTGTCTTTCAACCAGGAGAAGAACGAAAAATGGAGGATCTTGAAAACCCGAGAGAGGTTTGGTACCTTCTGTTTGTTAAATTATTTTTTTTAAGTTTTATATCTCAATTACTTTTGGAAATGGTAATGTCATATTATAATGTCTGTCCTGCAGGTGTCCCTGATACTGATATGTTCGGTTCTTTTTATGCGTTTCATATGAGCAGGTTCCTGCATCTTTCACTCTCAGTTCACCCAATGAATATCTTATCTCCGTGCTTGCAGAAGTTGTTTGCATCTCTGCTCTCCAAAGCACTCAGAAACAATTTCTTGATAAATCACAGGGTGGCAGTAGAAATGGTTTCTTTCACTGGTTTCAAAAGCCTGAAAGGATACAATCAAAGGATTCTGTGGTCATGTTGCACAAATTATTTGAAGACGAGATAGTTGAAAATGCAAGAAGTCTATTGGATAAATATCACATGATGAAGGATGAATTCAAGCCTGTGAAAATAAAATCAGGGCGCTTCTGGTGGAAACCATCCTACTATGAAAAATTAGAGAAAATTGGCGGTTCTGATTTCAGTGCCTGGACAAGTGAGTATGTACCTGCATATCGGTTAGATATTGACCCCAAAGTAATGGGAGATGCAAAATTTCAGGGCTGGAAGATGTCTGCAGAGAATAGGTTGGAAGTTCTTTTGACCCACTCTCAAATGGTACTTTACATTTTCCTTTTGCACTGGCCTTTATATTTTTAGTGATAATTTTATATTTTCCTGGCATGCAAATGGGCACTAACATGTCTGTTTGTCCACTTTTTTCAATAGAATAATGAAAGTTTCACAACTTTATGTGATTATTTAAAAAAAAAAGAGTAATTGGTTGGGTAAAGAAAGACAATTATAAATAAAGGGTAAAATTGGTAGAAAATGGCCACACCAAAACTTGATATCCTGAATATATAGGTATAGATTATTAGTAGTTGTGGCTCAACTTTTTTCGTCCCCAGTTTTTATTATAAAAGAGAACGAAAAGAATATTCAAGACCTTTAACTTTGGTCAAATATTAATGTTTACGAGTTGTGAGGGGTCTCCCATCTTTCTCACTTCAAGTTGCTAGTTTGCCAAATGATAGTTTGCCTTTGAAGCAAAGGTAACATACTTATACAAGAACTGAACTAATGACGGGGAGACACAGCAATAACCTTTCTTGATAATTTATGATTTACTTTGTCGAAAGGAGCAAAAAAGAAAAAGAAACATGGACAATTAATTGAACCTTATTCAGTCTTAAAATTTTTCTAATAATAATTTGAAATATGAAATAAATTTTGAAAGTCTCAAAAAACTTTCTAAATTGATCAGATTCTTAAATTAGTGAGTGTTTGATAAACATTAGAAGAAGGCAAAACAATATGTTTTATTCCGTGTTTGATGAATAATACAAGTAGAATAAATTGGATATAACGCAGAAAAAGTGGTACATTTTGGTTTCATACCTCAAAGAGAACTTAACAGAATATGTCTTTCTGTCCCATTTGGTCTGCATGCAAGCACTACCTTAATCCAAACTTCTATGTTTTGTTTGGTAAGTTTGAATATGGTGCCCCTAGTTCAATACTTTATTATTGCACTGTTTATTAGATTTTACTTATTGCCTATACTCTATGCTATAGAAGGCTGTACTGCATAGTTCTTAGCATCACCTAAAGTTATGTCACAACTATGCTATCAATATCTTGTATACAATACATACAATAGACATACATTCTCTTACATATTTAACGAAATCGCAGGTTGGCTTGGCAGAAACGTTAGATATGTACTATGTGGATCCCTATTCGTTATCGGATAAGGAATTATCCTGCGGAGTGGTGGCTAAGTATGCCAATGTGTCCAACAGAAAGGTAATCAAGTGTCTGTTGTTTGTTCTTGAAACTTTCTAAATGTAACTTTCAAAAGACTTGTTTTTACGAGATATGATAAAATCCAAGGGACTTGTGGTGTGGCTGCAAAGTTTCAAAGCCTGATAAAAACGTAATCACGTGTCCCTTGTTGATTATTTAAGTGTTTCAAATTTCAACTCTCTTAAGTGGAGAGGAAGATCAAACTCCGGGCCCAACTGTCTTCTGTGTCAAAAACTAGTGTTCAAGTTTATGAAAGCATTGATTAATTCTCTCTCATGAATGGTAAATGTGTAAAACAATATCAATCGTTAAGGCATTTAATACCACAGCCAACTTTATTAAATCCTGTGTTTTATTCATAGGGGTCTTATATTTATGGACGGAGGAGGTAGTACAAACTTTTATTTTGTGCCTCAAAAAAGGAGGGAAAACTAAATTTCCAATTTTACAAGAGAACAGTGTAGAAGTAGAAATTCACCTAGCTTCTGTTGCTGAAGGAAAGTATAGTTTTCGTAAATTTATTCTCATAAAAATAAGGAATCCTAGACAATTCTCATTAAAATTAATGGAAGTTATATTTTTTGCTCATGGGTTGGGTTTTGTTTATATGACTCTGTTGGGATGGCGTATCTTGCATTCTTGTCATATAGCTGATTGTCATATTTGTTTGTAGGGGGGTTCTTTATCAAAAATATTGTCAGCCATTCTTGCAAGTGGCATGTTTCTTGTAGCAATCAGTGCTTTGGGTCAATTTCGTTTACCTCGTTTAAGCAAGGAAAGGAAACATCCTGTAGAACAGATGTCTCTACCAACATCTGAAGTCAACGTTATGCATGACTTTTTGGATACAACAAAGGTTTGCTGTCTATCCTTTTTTTCTTACTAATTATATTAGTATATGCAAAATCTGCATGCTATTTAGGAATAGGTAAATACAATGTACCTTATATGTCTCATTCTTTCTTTTATGCATTGTTACTCTCTTGGAACTTACATATGGTCTGTACAAAGGTTATATCTCATGTTAAGGAGGCTTTGCTCCCACATTCCGCGTGGCAATCAATTACACTGTCTGTTATCTTTTTACACTTAAGTGTCTTCTACTTTTGTCTATAAAGTTCTTTCTTTCGTCTCTTACATGGATAGGTGGAAGAGTTTTGTGTGTCAACTGTAGCTAAGGTGAAGGATGCTTATGGCTGGTCAGATGAAATTAAGGTAGAAGATGGTATCAGTGCTTGGATTGGAGAATTGCCGGCTTACTTGCAAGGTGAAAGCGTTGATTCACTTTCTACGTCTTCAGAGGCTATAGATGCTGATGCAAAAGCGTCCATGCAGGATATTGCTAGTTACCAGGTACTCCATATTTTTAGAACACTGTATCTAACACACTATTACATCTTTTGTTTCCGTGTCTCTTCGTTACATTAAAGCATGACTAATCATTAGAATTTTAAATTCAGGAGTTATTAGAGTCTCCTGTTCATGGAGGAAAATTTGTTCTGTTTGCTTTGTATTATTCAACTAATGCTTGCTTTCCCTTGCAATTATTTGAAATTCAGGTGGTTTTCACTAGTGAGGGGAAGATAGTTGGTTTTCAACCCTTGAGTCGGGTGGCGGTTAATCAGTGGGCTGATAATCCCCTGGCAAGGGAGCTGTATGGGGGGAAAAAGCTTTCCCCAGGTAAATTTTAATTGCTTTCGATTTTCAATGCTTAATGTTTTAGCATAAACTGCTATTAAAGCTGATAAATGTTCTCTTGGATTTTATCAAGCAGGCATCTTTGAACCAGGTCTCAGGATTCCCCTTCCAAAAAAAGTAACTGTTGTAGAGTTGCTCATGTCAGTTAAACCAAATGCTTATTTTGCATTGGCTAGGCCATATCAGTGATCCTTTTTCTTGGTAAGTATATTCAACAAGACTAGAAGTTATGCCTTAGTAAAACTGGATTACAAATTGAAGATGAACCGAGTCTGGGAATATGGCAAGAGTTAAAAGATTAGAGTTGTCAATGCGGGTTTGATTTTTTGCAGGAAATGGCAGCTTTGTGTAGTTTTTTAGTCTCATTTGTTTGAACCACTGATGTTGTGAAAGTGAGCTGTGTAAGGGTTAGCAAAATTGACACTGTATTTGGGGTTTTTCCCATAATATTGATTTCACTATGAACTTTTGTAAATAGAAAAGTACAAATAGATGGCATCAATGGAAAATCAAAAAAGCATTTGTATTGATAACTAGAAAGTAAGATTTTCAGTCACTGCCAAACATTCCCTTAAACTCCTCAAATTCGGTTATTGCCAGCTGCGTGTAATCTCCCATGTGTTATTTTGAATCTCATGAGTATAGGAAATTACTTTGTTCGGACCAGTATTGCTACAAAAGTTAACCAGTATTGCATGTTGGGGTTGGGGTTGGTAACAGAGTGAATGGTAGTAGAGACTAATGATTTGAATGAGAATTTGGTGATTAAGAAAGATTTGGCTGATGATAGAAGAGAGCAATCTGGTCCTGATCCTGTCGTTATAGAAAAATAGTGGTAAGAATTCAATGAGAGATCCGTTTGATGGTTTGCATTTGAAGAAGAATAATAATCTTTGGGGTGATGAAGATAATCTTATTGAGTCACATCAGGAAGAATTTACTTTGGACAGTAAAAAGGGTAGGGGAAGACATAAATTTACTCAACCTAAAATAAAAATCAACACCTTGAGTCATGTCAGATAAACACAATTGAATGAAAGTCAATTATTGAAATGTTCAAGGAGTAGGAAATTTGATATTAGGTTGGCTATTAAAAATATTTATGATCAACAAAAGTCTAATTTGCTTTTGATTGTTGAATCAATGATTCCTTATACTCATTTTCTTGAAGTGTTTTAAACAAACCAGACTTAAGATATTTACAATAAATTTTAGATAGAATCATGATTTATACATATAAATTTTTTGTACAATATATATGAATCCTTTTATCTTGAGTTTGTGTGAACATGTAACTTTTCCTATAGCAATGGATCACATTAAGTTCTTCGTTGCAACTATATATGCAAGTAACTCCCATGTGATTCAAAAAAAAAATTATAGAATAAATTTACCAATCTTCAACAGGCTAATCCTGACCCTTAGTGTATGATAGACGATTTCAATGCAGTTATTGGTTTTTATGAGAAACTTAGTATATTTCCTAAGGAAAAAAAAACCTTTTACTAATGAATTTTTTAGTTGCACAAATCAAAATAAGCTTATGCGTCTTGACACTAGTGATAGTTATTACACGTAGACCAATAAGAGAAAAGGTGGTGCATACTATTCTATTAGGTTTGCCAGAGTTATTTGTAATGAGAATTGGTTAGATGATTAAAATAGAATCAATTGTTCCATTTTTATTAAGAATAACTCAGATCATTATTCTATTCTTTTTCATTGTGACAAAGGTTTGATTCAACTAGGCAATTCAAAATTTTGAAGGTTTGGACTTTTGATGATACTTGCCGATAATTGATTATTGATAATTGAAATACTAGTGTGATTGGTTGCCATATGCTTATTTTATCTGCTAAGTTAAGATATCTTAAACACATTTTTAACAAAGAGACATTTGACAATATTCATCTTAAAGTCACTCAAGCTATTGATGAAGTTGACATAGTATAAAATTTGATTAATGAATGATGATATTGAATTGGAAGAAAAAAATGTTCAACTTTTATTTGATAAGACATTGCATATGCATACCAGTTTTGGAGAGACAATTTAAAGAATAAGTGGTTTAAGGATGAAGATAAGAATACAAAGTTTTTCAAAATTCAATTAAGCTGGATATTCTAGTAACAAATCACTAGAAAGAGGCATGACGATATTTTATTGGAGGACGACATTGAATTAGATAATCATGCTATTAACTTCTAATAAAATTGTTTAATTCAGAAAACAATTGTAATTATACTCATATGGGGGAGAGAACCATCGTACATCTTATAACTCACGTGCATAATGAATATCTCACTAGAATGACTCAGCGGGAGGAAACTAATAATGCAATGCACAATATGGATGATAATTTTGCTCCATGTTCGGATGGCATTAGGGGATATTTTTTTCAAGCCTATTGGGATATAATAGGGACAAATATGATCAATTCAGTGAATCAAATTATTGAACTTGGATTCTTCCTAACCTCAGTTTTATCAATGTAACTTTGATACCAAAACAACATGAGACTGATTCTATTGAACAGTATATACTTCTTGCACTTGTAAATTTTCAACTCAAAATCATCACTAAGATTATTGTGGACAGGTTGGTCAAAAATTGTTTCAGAACACCAAAAATGCTTCATTAGGGACATGCATATTTATGAGTGCATTGAGATTACTTCCAAAACCATTAATTTGTTGGATAGAAAATTCTCTAGAGGTAGTATGACTTTGAAGATAGATAATAGAAAAATCTTTGGTACTTTAGACTTGCAATATCTTATTAAAGCTCTTGTTGAATATGACTTTTATCAAAAGTTTTGTGATTGAAATCTTACCATTCCTCACTTAGTAAAATTGTCAATCATGATGGGAACGCTACGGTTTTTTTTCTTACTCTAGAGGAGTGAAACAGGGAGATCCTCTATCTCCGTTGCATATAAGTTGGTGGGTCATGGTAAATTGACATGCATATAAGTTGGTAAGACAATCATTCTTAACCACACTTTTATTACATGTGGCCTTATGATATTCTACAAAGCTGCTAGAAAAAATGCTCAAGTCATTAACCATTTTCTTCATGAATATGAGTAGAATTCTGGTCAACACATCGGTCCAACTAAGTGTAAGCTTTATAGTGGAGGTACTTATGGATTTAAGATAAGGCACATTACATATATTACATATATGCTTCAATTCATTGTGAAACATACCATTTAACTATCTTGGAGTTCTATATTTAAAGGAAAGCCTAGAACTCATCATTTTTAGAACATAGCAGATAGAGTATTGGCCAAGCTACATGGAAGGACCTTCTTCTTTCTATGATGGGAATAAATCTATTGGTTTATTCAGTCGTACAAGGAATACTTATGTATAGTTTTAGGGTTTATGAATAACCAATCAATCTCCTTAATAAATTGGATTCTTGCATCAAAAGTTATGTGTGGACAGGTAACATAGTAAGTAGAAAGCCGATTACTATATCTTGAAAAGTTATTTGCTCACCTTTGTCAGAATAACGTATTGATATGAGAGATATTATGATAATAAATAAAGCTGGATGTTTATCTACTGGCTGGAAATCATTGATTACCAATAATCAATGATCTTCAATGCTTATTAATAGATATTTCAAGCATAAAAAATCAATCATACATCATATTTCTTCTTTAACATGGTTTGACATTAAACATTAATTTTTCTCTCTAGAGGAATATAGTAGATGGTGGGTTGGTAATGGAAAGGACATTGATTTATGGACTGATAATTGATTGAGATACAAAATTAAAAATTTACACCTAGTATTGTCGGTGAATATTTAATTTATTCAAACTAATAAGGTAATTCAATTATCTAAGACATAAATTGGAACATTTTTCACGGCTTATCCATTTTTCCTCTTCAAATTGTTGAAGACATTTTGAAGATTAACTTGTCATTTGATAATATTACTATTGATGAACTCATTTGGACAAAATATGTAAATGATGATCTATCTTTTAAAGATTCCTACAACTGTATCAGGAGGGATCACATTGAGCCTTATTGGATAAAGTTCATTTGACATCCCTACATAATTCTTGTCAAGTCATTAGTGACTTGGAAGATAATGCATAATGTTATTACAACAGAAGACAACTTGATTCAAAGGGGAATGCATATAGTTTCTAGGTGTTCTCTTTGCAATCATGATGTGGAAACTGCACACCATTTATTTCTTAGATGTAGGTGCACCTTTCTTTTTTCGAATTGGATAGTGCAATTATTTAACATTAACGTTGACATAGCTAGTTATGAAAGCTAATTCAAACTTGTTGGTAGAAGCTAGGGCTCTCAAAATCTGATCATGACTCATCATAATAATTATTTTGAAAACTTGACACAAGAAACGATATCAGGTTTCAAAATGACAAAATTGACTTTGATAAAGACATTCTTCATGTTCAATTAATCTATATGACATCTACTTTTTTCAAAGGACACGTGTATTCTTCAATTTATGAACTTACAATTATTAAATGTTTTGACATCAAATATCGACCTCCTTCCACACTTAGAATCATACAAGTTAATTGGTGTTTTCCTAATCATAATTGAATTAAGTGTAATACGAATGAAGCTTTAAGAGGAAATCTTAGAATATCAACTTGTGATGACATATTTAGAGATAATTTAAGAACATTCTTGAGAGATTTCTCATATAAAATTGGAGTTTGAACATTTTTCAAGTTGAATTGCATGGAATCATTCTTTATATCGAATATGCTAACATAAGAAATTGGAGAAATCTTTGGCTTGAATCTGACTTAATGTTCATACGTGCATTTTATAATGTGAATATTGTCCTTTGACATCTTTAAAAGAAAACTTTACACGCTATACATTTCTTTAGAAGATATCTCACATTTTTATAGAGAAAACTAAATGTGCAGATAGATTAATCAATGTAATTTTTATTTATTTATTGATGATAATACTTTGTAAAATTCACTGTCTATTTGTGTTTTTGAAATTTTTTTAAAAGATAATTGAATATGTCAAACTATCGCTTTTACTAATTGTTTGATGGTTGAATTTTATATTCCAACCTTTTAATTTTTTATTCAATAATTTATCTTTAATTTAAAAATATAAGGGAGGGGGGAGAATTTTGGGGGTGAACTTGTCAATTTTGTTGGAATTTTTGAATTATTATTGAAAAATGTTTGCACAATACATCACTTGTATCTTTTGTGCATGCAGAATTTGGAGAATCTAGCTTGCTCTGCTTATATCTGACACCCATCATTTATAGAAATTTTATCGCTATATTTTTGGATGAATTTTGGATGTTTTAAAAATTTACAGATTTTTATCAAAAAATTTTAATCTGTACAAATTTTTTAAAAATTTACAATTTTTTATGCAAAATTATCAGAAAATTTTAAATTTGTGAAATTTTTTGTCAATATCCAATATGAGTTTAGATTTCACAGGAAAATACCGGGTTTTTATTTTAAAATTTTCGATATTTTTTATCCAATATTTTTTTTTAATTTCCAATATTTTTTATCGAAAAATTCAAATTTCTGATATAAATGCGAAAATTTTCAGAAAACAAAGAAAATGCATATCAGAAATTTCAATTGTACAACCAAAAATTCTATTTTTTATATGTTGGTAATAAATTCCGTTTTTGATATATCAGTGATAGTAAAAATTTTGGAAGAAGAATAAAATTTAGTGATAAATTATAGCAAAAATATTTTTAAAATTTTAAAATTATAGAAATGTCAAGTTAAATTCTTCGAAATTTAATTATATATATATATATATATATATATATATATATATATATATATATATATATATATATATATATATATATATATATATATATATATATATATATATATATATATATATATATATATATATATATATATATATATATATATATATATATATATATATATATATATATATATATATATATATATATATAATACGAAGACATTGACAATTTTTTCTTATATTTTACTTATAGATCGTATGCCATAATAAAAAAAATTTAAGATTAAAAAAAAATATTTTATAAAAAAATCAATTATTTAAAGTTTTAAAAAGGGTCGGAGCATTCTTTAGTATTTATATATTGTAAGTTTATATTACATACTCACAGTTTGACTCACTTTCTCTTTGTTAAACTATTTAATTAGAATATATTGACTTGATAAAGATTTTTTATAAAATTAATTAATAATAATAATTGATCAGTTTAAAAAATTTGACTTTAATTTTAATTATTTAAAAAGTACTAACCAATAATTATGATACATCGATAATATAATTTTGAATTAATTAGTATTTTACACTAACAATATATAATTATAAATACCTTTTTAAAAAACTCAAATTTGTCTCTCATAATTTACTTGCGACCAATCAATATCGTCATAACTCATTTGATTTAATGGCGAGATTCGATAATTTAATGATAAAAATATATTTGTATTAAAGTTAAGAGAGTTTCTTTTTCCACCCCGTTTGTTAGCTATCTTGCAAGTTTTTAAAATATTACTTATTTTTAAAAATATATTTTCGAACACATTTTAATATTTATATTTTATTTGTTTTTGAGTCACACTCCAATTTCATAAATAAATGTTGGAAAAATTGCAAAAATATATTTCCCAAAACAACAATATATTGGCTATTGCTATTTGGTATCACTCTGCAATTTGCATATTGACTATTCACAGTTCAGTTCATTGCAAACCGAACTATAGTAAAAATTTATTCGAATTGAATCGAACTGTTTCAGTTTATTCAAAATCGAATCGAACCAAAATAATTGGTTTAGTATATCATTTAAAAATTCCAAACCGTTATAAGACAATTTTTTTCAAACCAAACGATTAAACTATTTTTCATTTTTTTAATTTAAAATTTATTTTTAGTATTTTTCTTTTTCATTTTTGGTTCGATTCGGTTTTAGTTTCGACTCGATTATAGTTTCAGTTCGGTTCTAGAACCGTTTTATACAATATAATTTGATTTACTAACCAAATATAACTATTCGATTATTTTAACTTCAGTTCAATTTAGTTCGATATGTCAATGTAGTTCATAGTTTTTTTACCCGCCCTAATATTGGCTATTGCATGCAATATCATATATTGGTTGTGTTATATACAACAAACAAACATAATACGATCCTTATATTATGGATGTGCTTTTTGAGTCATGACAAAAACTCAGAATGACAGTGTTGGTTCAATCTCTGGACGCAGATTAGTGCCATTAGCAACAGTCAAACATTTCGTCTAGGGTGTTATTAGTACCATTACTAATAGTGTTCTTTATATTTTCAGAATTTTTTCAGATATATTTGAAATAAATTTATTTATAAAATGAGAGTTTGATTAAAAAATAAATAAAATATGTGTATTAAGATGCATTAAAAAATATATCTCCAAAAGTATAGAATATTTTTGAAAACTCGCGAGGTTAAGAAACACGTGGGGTGGAAAAAAAATATATAGAACGTCCTTCCATTGGATAGATTATATTAACACCAAAAGAACGTATGTAAATGTACTGATCTAATTTAATGGAGGCATTTTGTTTTTTAGACTAAATGAGTAAATATACTACCAACACTTACAAATACGATCATACAATTAACAAAAGAACATGTAGTCCATTCGAATTCGATATGCTAATATGGTTTAATTACATAATGCATACCAGATAAATTATTTTCTCAATTTTCATGTTCAACTTTTGTTATTAGTGTGAAATGTTAATTGCAAATTTACTATAGTTGAGCTTTGGCATGGAAAAGGTCATGACAAAACCACTTCTAGAAAAGTGGATAAGCACAAAAATTTCATGATTTTTGAAAAATGTTAGCTTTGTTTACATATCATTCATATTCTTATCTCATAGTTTCTTTGTTCCATTTTTCAAACAATTATTCATGCAGTGCATATCATATTAGCTCTTAGCTTAGCAAGTGTGCCACATTTATGCGATTTCGGATTGTTTACATATCCTTAATTCCTTTTTATCAACTATGGCTGCCAACAAATTTCATGTTGCAATGTATCCATGGTTTGCATTAGGCCATCTTACCTCATATCTTCATATATCCAACAAACTTGCTGAGAGGGGCCACAGGATTTCTTTTCTTATGCCCAGAAATACTATATCTAAATTAGAGCATTTCAATCTCCACACAGATCGCATCTCCTTCATTCCAATCACCATACCAGATGTCGACGGTCTTCCTCGTGGATCAGAAACAACTGCAGACCTTCCTTTCTCGTTGCATTCCCTTCTCATGACTGCAATGGACCTCACTGAGCCTATCATTGAAGAATCTCTAAGAGAGCTTAGACCCCATATGGTGTTCTTTGATTTCACATATTGGTTACCTGCATTAGCAAGCCGGTTTGGCATTAAGGCTTTACATTACTGCACAATAAGCCCTGCCACTGTGGGGTATCTGATAAGCCCAGAAAGAAAACTTCATGAGAAGCCATTAACAGAAGAGGATCTGCTTGACCCTCCACCAGGTTTTCCACCGTCATCTATCAAGCTTCAACTTCATGAAGCAAGAGGGTTAGCCGCTTCCACTTTAAAGGATTATGGCAAAGATATTTCATTTATGGAGCGACAATTGATCTCTCTCACCAGCTGTGACGCTATCATTTTCAAAACTAGCAGAGAAATGGAAGGCCCTTATTGTGATTATCTTGAAAAGCATATGAGAAAGCAGGTGTTTTTGGCAGGGCCAGTTTTGCCAGATCCACCAATCTCTACTTTAGAAGAAAAATGGGTGACTTGGCTAGGAGGTTTTAAACCCAAAACAGTGATTTTTTGTGCCTTTGGAAGTGAATGCATTTTGAAGAGTAATCAATTTAAGGAACTGTTATTGGGTTTTGAACTTACAAGAATGCCTTTTCTAGCTGCCTTGAAACCACCAATAGGAGCTGAAACAATGAAACTAGCTCTGCCTGAAGGATTTAGTGAGAGAATAAAGGGAAGAGGGGTAGTTGAAGGGGATTGGGTTCAACAACAATTGATCCTGAGCCACCCATCTGTGGGTTGCTTTGTGACTCATTGTGGATCCGGATCATTAACAGAGGCCATGGTAAATGATTGTCAATTAGTACTTCTTCCCCACGCAGGGGATCAATTCATCAATGCAAGAATAATGAGCGGCGATTTAAAAGTAGGAATAGAGGTAGAGAAAAGTGAAGAAGATGGACTTTTCACCAGGGAAGCAGTGTGCAAGGCAGTGAGAACCGTAATAGACGGTGAGAGTGAATTGGGTCATATAGTGAGAAAGAATCATGCTCAATGGAGAGAGTTCTTGCTCAGTCAGGGGCTGGAAAACTCCTATGTGGATGACTTAGTTCAGAAGCTACACAGTCTGCTCAAGTCTTGATTCATTACACATATCGACGATAATCACGCAGATGAATGTGATGTCTTATTTAAAAGCTATAATTGTCCGTTGACATGCAAAATTTGCAGTCTTTTATCATATCTTAATCATAGAATATATATTGTATTTCCAAATTAAATAAAGAAATACGAAGGCTGAAAATGTTGTAGCATAATCACAATCTTAAGCTTTTTAAAGACATATGAAGAGACTAAAATAATAACGGTAATTCAATCGAAAGCAGTTATTGGCTCTTTCACCATAAATATCAGTGCATAACATGATGTAATAGTGCTAAGAAAATTCACAAAAAAAAAATGGTTCAGAACATGATCTTTTCTGGGATTTTCCAAAAAGGTAACTTGCATGAAATACAAAATCAAACCTCCTTGTAGAAGCCAGAAGAATCATTTCTTTTCACCGGCCTCTGGATTTTCCAACCCGAACCGACGTCTGAACTTGGCAATCTGTCCCAAACTCTCAGCCATTTGACGCTTAGCTCGAAAGTGGTAGACTTTACCAACAGGGTGTATCTTTGTCATCATCACGTTCATCAATCTGCCGGTTTGAGTAACATACGAAATCCATTGCTTTTGTGGGTGCACTCCTTTCTTCATTTCCTAGCAATTTGAAACCCCGTCACCATACAGACATTTCATCAAACACTTAGTAGGCTATGCTATACTAAAATTGAACATAAAATTATTAACCCAAGTAATCAAAAATAAAAAGAAGATAGATTAAAAGGAAAACTGAGGTTTGGAGTAAAATTACAAGTTATGATTAAACAGAAAAGAGATTTGTACACTTACCGTAGCAATATGTGGATTTCTAAAAGAGAGATTCAATTTACCTACTGAATTTCTTCTCGGAATTCAAGAGTGTAGACACACAAAGAGAAGAAAACAATTTCCGCCGAGGTTAGTATACAAATTTTTTTTCACAAAATAGGTGTAATGTTAAATTGTGAAAAATGTTGGTCTTTGAAAATTGTGTATTATTTTGGTTAAAACTTCATAATTGATTTATTTATGAAAAAAATAGATATGAAGCAATTTGAATCCGCTTTAAAATTGACGGAGAAAATTTATTCTGACTGGGTTTGAGTTTGGGTTTGAATTTTTCTTAATTAAAAAATATGGAAACATGCCGAGTAAAAGGGGTACTAGTATCCAGTCCGAACTTGTCCCGTTTATTTAATTAATTTACTTAATTTAGAATATTTAATATGTGGTCAATGTTTTAATATTTTGATTTGTATTAATTATTTAAAATATTTGAAATGCATGTGTAAATTTTTTGAGATTATTTTATTTTATTATTTGTAATGTAATGATTTTGGAAAAAAATTAATTTTTCTAAATAGACGATGGTGGGACGGGAATACCTGAACCCGTTTGAGACGAGTTTGAGTTTTAATTCTCCATTTTCGTTTAGGTTTGTGGTGGGAAACGAAAATTGTTTGAGAAATCGGATTTGGATTTGGGGAGGCAAAAATTGTCCCCGACCCGTCCCGTTGCCATGCCTATATGTATTCTTTTAAAATAATTTTACAGAATCAATCAACTAGTATAATGTATCAAACTATAATTTTTAAATTAATGTTATAATACGATATATTGACAAATTTCTATATCTATTAGATAATAGTATAAAGTTAAGGCATACCAATTCAACTTTTTATTTATTTATTTTTTCAATCTAAATTTTTTATTTATATTTTCTTATTACAAGTTAGCATTTTCATTTATATATATATATATATATATATATATATATATATATATATATATATATATATATATATATATATATATATATATATATATATATATATATATATATATATATATATATATATATATATATATATATATATATATATATATATATATATATATATATATATATATATATATATATATATATATATATATATATATATGTGTGTGTGTGTGTGTGTGTGTGTGTTTTGGAGATCAACTTATTCGAAGAGTAAGTTTTTTTAACTTACTCTAAATCATAACTTTTGAATTAAATCTAATCCAATGAATAAATTAGCTTTTTAGTTAATTGACCATTAGATTAGATATAATTCATAGGCTAGTTAATCTCCACACACACACGCGCACGCACACACACACACGCACGCGCGTGCACACACACACACACACACACATATATATATTATTGAAAATAATTTTTTAGCATTTCAGTTGTGGTAACCGATTACGGGTTTTGGCGTAACCGGTTACAGAGTTATATTTTGGCTGGGAATTGTAAGTATCGGGCTCGTAATCGGTTACAACATTTTGCGTAATCGGTTACGGATGCGTTTTTCTGTTTTTTTAACTTTTCTGTTGTATCAACTTATTTGATTAAACTGTTTTGTTATATCAAATTGTTTGTGTGTACTCGCCATATAAAAGACCATGTAAGCTCCCACATTATGGTCAATGCCAATTATTCTTCTATACAGTAGGAATGAAATGTTTGGGTTTCCATTATCTTTTCTTGCGGACAAGGCTCGAGAGTTTGTTAAAAAAGGTTGTTGGGTGATATCCAATGCTATATTAGCCCTGTGTATCTATAGCATTATGTTATTCCCGAACATCCCAGATTTTGTAGATGCTGATGCATTCAATATCTTTACTTCAAAGAACCCTATACCCACTCTGTTAGGAGATGTTTATCATTTCGTGCATTACAAGAACGAGAATAGGAGAGGGAAAATTGTATCTTGTTGTGCACCTTTGTTCTATACTAGGAGCCACCTTCCCAAGACTGGTCCGTCCTCTGCTACTGCTGGCACTTTGGAATGGTCTAAGCGCTTGATGAGATTGTCTGCCGAAGACATTGTGTGGTTTGATAGGGATGTATTGGGCATTGAGATTATCTATAGTTGTGGAAGCTTTCCTAACGTCCCGCTGGTCGGAACGAAAGGTTGCATAAACTATAATCCGGCTATTGCTATCAGACAGTTTGGATATGCACTGAGAGGTCCTCCGAAGGATGAAGAGATACAGGAATCTCTGTATCTCACTGGTTTGTTGGAGGGGGATACTTTGGCTAGGGTTGAACATGCCTGGAGAAATGTCCATAGGTGAGGAAAGGTTGCCTTGGGAAAGACCAATAGTCAATCATATGCTCCATATTTGGTTTGGATACAGAGTAGAGCCAAAGAGTTGATGATGCCATATCCGTCTATTTAGCCTGTGCATCCTCCTGAGATTATAAAGCCGACCACAGTGGATATTCAGAGGTATAATCAGGTTTTGCTTGAGAAGGAAGAATTGAAGAGAGCTATTGAAGAATTGGAGAAAGAGATTATCCAACTTCGTAGTGAGAAGATAGAAGCAGTTCATTCTTTCAGAAGACAAACCGAGCTTGTGAATAAACTGGGTGCCGATCTGACAAAGGAGACTAAGGACAGAGAGCGCACATGCCAAGATTTGAATGCTTCCTATCGTGTTCTGGCCACGAAGAAGGAAGAGTTGAATAAAGCCTATTTGCAGATTTCCAAGTTTGAGGCTCAATGGAACGTTGCCATGTCTACTAGCAAGCAGCGTGAAGACAAGTTGAAGGCGCATATCATCAAACAGAAGGCCCAGCTCGAAGCTAAAGATGAGGAGATCTCAAAGGAAGCCGCACTCAGAAGACATAGTGACTGCAAACTATATGAAGCGCTTGCAACCTTGGAGAGCATAGAGAGGAAGGTAGTGCTAAAAGGCGTAGACTTGAGGAGGTTGTGGGGAAGGAGGACTCGGTCGAGGATCTTCAGTCCACTATCAGTCAGCAGGAGTTGCTCATACGTGGTTTTCTCACTAGGCCAGACCATCTGGATACACAAGCGTTGTTGAAGGATTTCCAGTCTCGCCACCCAGTTTGATTTGTTTCTTTGTATTCTGTAGCGTAGACTTTTGTATGGACCATCACCAGACCTGTTGGTTGAGGTCCCTTTCTGTTTGTACTCATTTGTTGTTTATACCTTGCCTATGGGCTTATGTTTGTATATATGAGGAATTTCTATTCTGTGCTTGCCTGCGGGGCTCTCCATCGTCTTGGTTGTTATCCCGAAACTAGAATCAAGGGGGAAATGTCCCTATTTGCATAAATACATGTCTGCATTTTAGCATGTTTCTCGCATTTGCAGGTGCATCGGAACTGTTAACCTTATCTTGTTTCTTGTGCCACTAGTGTTTCAGGATTGCAGAACAGAAAACTCACTGCTACGGTACTAGAGGTAACTAGAAACGGATGATGGATCAAATACAAGTGGAAATGCAAGAGATGAGGGATCGTATTGCACAATTGATGGAGATGATGCAAGGGGTTGCCAGTGGCCAGGCTCAACTTCATACTTTGGTGCAACCTCTGATGGCACGAGTTGATGATGATAGGGTGTTACACAGTGGGATCGCTACTAACCACCCTCGAGTAGAGAACCCTCGTGCAGGAAATTCTATACCAACTTTAGTCATCCCCAATGCTGGCGGTAATGGTAACAGGAATGGCCATGGCTTCGGTTTTGATACTACAAGTGCCATTCATGGTTGTTTGGACCATACATGGAACGAGGATAGGCAGGAAGATATATTCACTCCAAGGTTTGTAAATGATGCAGGACCTTCTGAGGCTGATAGAAGGATTCAAATGATTGAAGAAAAGATGCGATCTCTTGAGTGACAAAATTCCATGGGGCTAGATATGTCCAATCTGGGGCTGATCCCAAGCTTGAGAGTGCCTCACAAGTTCAAAGTTCCCGTCTTCGATAAGTACAAAGGCACTACTTGCCCGAGGGTCCACCTGCACTCGTACTATAGAAAGATGTCCACGTACTCGGACGATGAAAAACTCTTGATGCACTTTTTCCAGGATAGCCTGTCCGGCCCCTCTTTGGAGTGGTACATGGGGCTGGAGCCCGCTAATGTCCGCAGCTGGAAAGAACTAGCCGAAGCTTTTGTAAGGCACTATCAGTACAACAGTGACCTTGCACCAAATAGAGTCCAATTGCAGAATCTTTCCCAAAGAAATAACGAATGCTTTAAAGAATACACCCAGAGGTGGCGAGAGCTTGCTGCTAGAGTGCAACCACCAATGGTAGAAAGGGAGCTAGTGGACATGTTTGTTGCTACTTTACCAGGGGTGTACTATGAAAAGCTCATAAGCAGTATGTCCGGAAGTTTCTCAGATTTGATAATCACCGGTGAAAGGGTGGAGAACGACATCAAGCTTGGAAAAATTCAGGTGGGAGAGGTACCCTCATCTGGAGGAGGAGGAAAAAAGATATTTGGGAACAAGAAGCGTGAAGGTGACGTCAGTTCAGTGACAAGTTCTAGAGGAAGAGGAAGAGGTCAGCCACAGAATCAATATCGCCAACAGCAAGTGGCCAGTGTCACTATTCCTGTGCCACAGCAACAACGACCACAACAACAACAACAACAAAGACAGTATCAGCCACAACAGCAAAACCAGCAAGGTTATAGGAGGTATCCTGAGAGGGCCAGACCGAATAGAGTATTTGACACTCCACCGATGCCCTATTCTCAAGTGCTTCAGACTTTATTGCAGATACAATCAATTCAGAAAAGGACTCTTTCTCCTTTGACAGGTGATC